GGGAGCCCGATGCGGGACTCGATCCAGGGACTCCAGGATCATGACCTGAGCTGAAGGCAGTCGCTTAACCAACTGAGCCACCCAGGCGCCCCAGATCTAATATTTAAAGAGGAGTCAAGAATCTAAGATTTTTATGTGAAATCTGCCAATTTTTAAAAACTAGCAACTATACAAATTTGTATAAAACACTGCAAACCCAAAACAACAGAAAAGGCAAAACGTTTAAAGGTAGACAAAGGATTTCAGGGAGGTCTGAGGCTGGACTTACAGTGGTTCTCCTTTCATTGGGAGGTCTAGAGGCACTGCCCAAGAGAACTTCCAATTTCTCTCCACTGCATTTCCCCCCTCTTCTTTTTTTTTTCCTTCAACTTTATCCTCTACGCCCATCTCCAGCTTCCTTTATCTTCTCACTTTTTTCTCTCTTGCTTTTGCATCAGAGCTGCCAGTATCCTGTATGAGTGCCTTGCACGCAAAAGTTTCTGAAAAATATTTGTTTTTGAGCCAAGGTGGTGGGGGTTAGGACCAGGACTGATACCCAGGGGTAAAGACTCTCTACTCTCAGAATTGAGAACATTGTTGAAATTGGAATACATCACACAGTAGGGCCTACTTGCCATCTTTGTGTTATATGTATAGTAGGATGAAGACCACAGTAAAATTCTAGCTGTCATTATTTCAGCAGCTACTTATGTTAAATTGTAGAAAACTAATAGCTAATATCTATGGAACATTTGCTTATCCTCATGTGGGGAGCTCTACACTCAATAGAAGTCAAGGGGAGCGCAGTTCATGCCTACCCGTCCCTTCACACACAAATTTCACAAACTCAGGTCCAGGAATTCAGAGATTGTAAATTGTGAGGCAAGGCCATATAGAATTTACTTTTGAAATTCTGGAACGTTTATCACTTTCCAATTCCAATTTTTTGTGTGTTTGTGTTTATCTCATGAAATCTCTTGAAACAAGATCTGTGCATTTGTCTTTGGGGTTGGCAAAAATGAGGGGAAGGTGTGGAGGTTAGTTTCTGTTCTTGGCCTGGTTGCATCTTCACAGGGGAAGTGGAGTGATGCTTTGGAAGAAAAGTGAATAGAGGCAGGAGAATAGAAAGGGCAGCCATGGAACAGGGGTAGACTGAGTCAAAAGGGGATGGCCTGGGACTAAGGAATAGAAACCCATGTGTGTTTCCCGTTTGGTGCAAATAAAAATGGGAAATTTTGGAAGTTTCCAAAAAAGTTGTCCCTTACATGGGTGAACTAAATGGATCTTTTTCATTTCACCACTACATTTTCCTATTTGTTCCTAAAATCCTGCCTAATTCCTCCACAGCTCTTTTATGAACTGAGGCTGGTGTTTCTGGGACCTTCTCCCTTTGTGGACAAGCCCCTATCTCCCCTTCTTTCACTGGGACCTGGGGGGGATGGACCAGCAGAAATCCCTTTGGTGGTGATGACCATGCTTCCATGGGGGGTTTTTACCTTGCCTTTCACAAGGAAATCTAGACCACTGCACCTTTGTTTCCCTGGCAACTGGCACAATGATGGGCAGGTCATTGGTGGGATTTACTTCGATAATAAATAAATAAGTGAACCCAGGTTTCTTAAGCGGGTCTTTAAGTTTCTCAAAGGAAGACTATTTATACGCTGGCGCAGAGATCCTGGGCTAACAATATGAGGGCACCTAAGGCCAACGTGAGGTAATGGGATTTCTGAGGAAGTGTGAGAAGGCTAACTGGAAGCTAACTTGGCATTGAGTTCTCTGTTCCTCCTTCCCTTCTCCTGCCTTAGTACCTTAGATGCTACTCTCACCAGGCACTGGGCAGAGGTGAGAGGGAAGCTCCAGACCTGGGGTGATTAAGGAGTGGGGTGAGAAGTCAGGAGGGCAGGGATGCCTGGGTGGCTCAGTTGGTTAAGCGACTGCCTTTGGCTCAGGTCATGATCCTGGAGTCCCTGGATCGAGTCCTGCATCGGGCTCCCTGCTCAGCAAGGAGCCTGCTTCTCCCTCTAACCCTCCCCCCTCTCATGTACTCTCTCTCTCTCATTCTCGCTCTCTCAAATAAATAAATAAATCTTTAAAAAAAAAAAGAAGAAGTCAGGAGGGGAGGTCAGAAGGATGCACTGAGCATCAGGGCTGCCTGTACACAGATGTGTGGGAAGGAGGGCTTTGACCCTGGTCCTGCTCAGGAAATGGGACAATGAATAGTCCCATGTACAAATTATTTGAGTGGCATTCTGAGAAGTTCTTCAGCCAACTTAGAATAGACAGAGAATATTATAGATAGAAAAGATACAGTTCTCAGCTTTTTTATGATTTTTCTGTTGCTCAGAGTAATAAAATTTTATCTAAAGTTTAATTTGATTATTTGACTCTTTCAGGAAATTACTTTGCCCTGAGAATAATCCTGTTGGTTGAAACAGAAAACTGTTATAAATGACAGGCATTTTATACTATATGAAGTTTATAACATATATTTATGGGTATAAGATACATGTCTAAACTTGGGAAGAAAGTAAGGATTGAGACTGTGTATAATTACACAAATTTCTATGTGTCGTATACTTATATACTTTTTATAAATGTGTAACTATAGTATGTTGCTCATGAAAAATTATGGCTTAAATTCCAAAGTGCCATTGCAATCCAGTCTTGCCCGTGGACATGAGGTAAGCTCACAATAATTTCCATACACTTTTGTTCTCAGAACATTAATTTTTGAGGGAGCAAAATGTTAATTTCAAGTATTGGTGATTTTCTTTCCAAAGAAGGAGTTAATTTTGAATGGATTAGCATTCAATAGGCCAAATGGACTTAATCTGCCATCAGACAGTTACTCATATGAGGGAAATATGGCCCAAAACCATTGAGGTGAGACACTGGTCTGAAAACAATTTTAACCTGAAAAACCATGAAAAATATGGATGCGTACACACATCTCAGCATCCTAAGAGTAATCAAATGCCAGCAGATAGCAGAAATAAGGACTAAAGATTAACACTGAAGATATAAGAACACTGTTTTCTTCTTATTGATTAACTTCTCCATTTTGTAATTCTGTGAAAATCCCACTAGCATGTTGAACTTTTCAAAATATTTTTCTATATTTCATTTTTTAGAACAACAGATTATTTTTTTAGCTAAAGGCTTACCATTGGTCTTCCTTTACTGTCAGTTAATCTGTAACCAAAAATATTTCCCATCTTAGCTATCATAAGCTTTTTTTTTTTAACATTTATTAGTACAAACTTTCCCCCTTCCCCAAGACCCCAAGACACAAGACCTGTTTTTGTTGTAATTTTTCCTGTTTTAGAATTTGAGCTTCTCTTCATCAACCATTTCCTAAGAACCTATTCCCCTAATATCACTGGGTTATTTGTGGACAGAGTCTTAATTTAAATTCAAACTAGCCCCAGTATCAGTTCATAGTATCTTCCATCTTACAGCAAACTGAAATCAATGTTAATCTTCTAAAAGGATTATCACTTAATGCTTTCTTGATAATAGTCTTCTAATCTGATTTTTCATTGCTACTGCATCTAGAGCAACAATTTCACCTTTTCTGTAGCTATTCCTGGGATCTCTATTTGCTGCTGCCTCCCTACGTTTTTGGAAAGTCTCATAATACAAAACTCCATAGGTTCTGTTTTGACTTTTCCATTCTTACTTATCTTTACAATAATGAAAAGAAATGTTAGTTAAAAATATTTTCTCTAAAGGCCTGTCCAGACTTGTAATTTAGCAGATATTGTGGGGGGTGTGGGGGTGATACAGAATAGTGCTTAGGTTTTTCTATTGCTGAAGTAATCCTGGGAATCTCTTCCTACTCGTGCCTTAAATTCCTCAGTATTTCTGGTTGCTCAACAACATATCTGTGAGCTTATATGTCTTCTTAGAAATAACAGACTTACTTTGGGAAATAAGCACTTAAGAAATGTTCAATCACTTGTGACCATGCATTAGTGCACTTTCCGAGCTATCCTAGGCAGATAGAGCAAATCAGAGAAAATTCTTACCTCTTGAAGGACGTAAGATAATGCACATCACCAATAAAGCAAGCACAGCAGAAGTTGCAACTCCAAGTACAATTTTTAACCATGTCTACATAAAATAAAGAAAATTGACATATACACAGTTTCTGTTAAATAGTAGAAATGGCAAGATTTTGTTTACACCTAAATCCTATTTCTCTCTCCCCACAAAGCCTTTGATTGTTTTCCACTGATCTGGCTATAATTGCTGGAATTCTCCCAGCTCTGCAAGGACAAATGTTTCTACAGTATATTTAGAACAATCTCCCAATCCCAACCCACTCCAGGAAGTACATACTTATGTACAAATCCTCACCTTCTAAACAATAGAAAACTGTGATCGAACTCAACTCAGCCAGTCCTCCTTCTTTAGCAACACCTGAGGCTGCATATACTAACCTTCATTTTTCCAGATGTTTTTGAAAGTTAGCTAATTCTGACTTCAGAGCGTAGGTCACCGGATCTGTGAAAACCGTTGAAAGAAGCAAGTCTGTCTTCAGAGTTGGAAGCTGAAGCTAGGACAAGGTTTTTTTCTTTCCACGGACTTTTGAATACCGGGCCAAATTTCAAAAGATTTCTGTAAAATTAGAAACAGATTTTGGGGGCGTTCTTGGCCTTGAAATGAACTGTGAGTGGCTCAAGGGAGGTTTTATAGCCTTCTCATCCTTGTAAATTCTACACCAACATCTGCTTACGTTGACATACAGAGGTTTTAGTTGTCTTTTTTTTTTTTTTTTTTTAACAAGGTCGGGTTTATGTTTCATTTTCTTCTAGAAATCACTTACGGATCACTTTGGCAAGCGATCACATTTTGTGTAACCATTTTATTTGCAACCAAAAGAAGAATTTAAAATAGTACAACCTCCAGGTACACACAATACACATATATCTATTTTTTAGCAGAGAAAGAAAATTAAAGCCATATAAGATTTTATGAGACATACACCACATAAGTGCACATTTTTATTCCTCTGGGAAATTATGAGGTACTTGCGGACAGAAATGTTTTTCTTTCAGCACAATTTCTTTGTCCATATAGCACCATATGCACTTTCAGTAAATACAGAAGTTTAAAAATTCAACTGTCTAAACCCACGACTGCTTTACTTTAAAGAAATAAAATGCCATCTGGTGAAATTTAGTATGGGTTAGGTGTGTATGCACAGGCCAGAAAGATGGAAAGATCAGTAAGAATAATTTACCAACAGACCTTTGGAAGAATGGAAATGGCTTTGCAAAAGTGATATTTTTGCTTCCATCTCAGAATATATTCTGAGAGAGAAGACCATTCAGTAATTATAAAGCCTCTAAGACAAATAAAAAAGCATTTGAAAACAGAGGTAAGTCTTAAGTACAATTTCATTTTGGCTAAATCTATGTAATTGCAAAGCAATTGGTCAGCCCGACAGATCAGAAAAAAAGGTTGACTGAATTTTTTTAAAAATACATACATACAACAGTTTCTTGGAGTATTCTGGCTGGTTCAGTGCAAGACACTCGGATAGATTGTGGTTCCACATAAACACAATTGTTAACCTACTGTGTTTTTAGTTTTTCCACTCATGATTTTCTTTTCTGGAAGTTTATGATGTTCTCACAATGACTAAAACAAACTTCATGGTGACATCTCCAGGGTTGTTCATGAAAGGTAATGAGGAAACAATACTGAAATCTGTTGCTGTTTGCTTTAATCAACTGGTCTGGCTACCATAGGAGGCTTTCTCCAGCAAACAGCAGGACAGTGGCTTGCGAACTTCCTTTCAGACATTCTCCAGACAACCCTCCCTGAATTCCAGTCTTATGAAAATTCTGTTGAGGAAAATGAGTCATTAAGCACTTACTGGCAGAGAGATGTAGCCACCCGGATTCTAGATGAGTCTCCCTCTTTGGCAGTTGATGGGACCAGCTCTTTACAAACTGAAGCAATGATTAAGAGTAATATCCAGGTTATGCTCTAAACTTGCATTTCTATTGATTGTGAGATCCTCAAATCCGAGATAAAAGCCACCAGCTAGGTTCCAAATGAACAGCTCCTGTGTGTGTCCTCTCAGATTGATTGCCTCCTTTGGAAAATTCACACAGCATGTTCTCAAAAGTTTTGTCCGAGCCTGCCAAAGCCCCAGAGTCCACAAGTACTTTTTAGTGTGTTATTTCCAAGACTTCACATTCTGAAGAGTGACTGTAATAAATGATGAGGGTGTAATTAAAATGGATACTATTTGCTTTAGCAATTAAAAATGCACTGACATGTGTCTGGTCTGAGGCACATTTAGGATTGCAGCCAAGTGTGGGTGTCCACAAGAGACTCATTTAATAAGTTTTATAGAGAAATTGGGGTGCTTTAAGAGGAACAGATTTAGGTTGAAACTGTTAGTGAGTGGGGGAAATTTTGAGGCTGAAATATGTTTACTTAGTTTTGTTTATTTTTTCCTTGGAAGGTTGGTGATTCAAATTCAACTTCTGGAAAATTCTTACTGGTTTAAACTGTTTTTAGAAAAATGGAACTAACTACAGAAGTAAAGATGTCAAGAGTTTTTCCATGTGATTCCATAGGTTAGGGACATGTTGCTTTAATAGAGCTTCACATGTCCATCCCTCTGAGATACTGTGTAAGTGTTCTAGCTTTCATCCAAACAGAGACTCCCACAAAAATTTGGATGCTTTTAATATTATAACATCTTTACTGGCTTTTTCTTCTTTCAGATTGAATACAAAAATGCTTATGCTAACATTTTTTTTAAACATTAAGGAAACTGACTACCATTCTTATTTTACACAGTGAATCAACATCCAATCAGTTTGTCTGTCAGGAAAACACATATGAATAAGCCTCAGCCTGTGTCCTCAGGGAGCTTACTTTCTAGTACAAGCAGGGCAGGGAAGTTCTTACATATTTGTTTCTTTTCCCTTTCTGGAACGCTGGCTGAGAATGAGCCTCAGTCTAGGTTCGTCCTTAGTAGGAAAGAGACTCGTGATTGGCTGTTGACTTCAGCATGGATCCAGGAAGAGAGTCATGAAATCCACATACCATGTTTGTAAACCATAGAGTAGGTCTAGTTTTGGTCAGGACTGGGACTTTTTTCAGAAAGTGACTCTGGATCTATTCAAATGTAACAAAAATGGAAAGTATGACTTCGGCCTGTAAAAAACTAAGAGCAAGAATTAGGATAGTAGAGGTTCAACTGAGCTTTTCCCAAAGATGGGCCTTCTAAGGCTTAATTTGGAGTATGACTACATTCTGGTAAGCCCACTGGGAAAGTTAACTATAACATAAATCTTTAGCTTACTAAGACAGATTTCTAGAACTATTTAGCAATAGCTATTGTGTGTCTGCCAAAAATGAGTTTGATTTAGATGTTTTCCTAGAAAACACATCCAGTGATATACTCATAGAGAGTGAATGGGGTAAGACCATGCTGAAGGCATAAATAGGGATTCTGTCTTTTTATTTGGAGGTAGAAGAATAAAAAAAGAGAGATACATTTATGAACCAAAATCTAAGACTAAGATTATTTAAGGACAAGTGATAAGTAAGGGGTATGAGGGCAGGAGTGGAGCCTACAGAAACCTTGATTTTTATAAAATAAGAATTTGCACTTAAGAAGTCCATGCATGCCCATCTGATTCCTTAGATTCAATAAATATTTCCAGGTCAGGGTATATACAAAGAGCTTTAATACACTATTTCTTTTAACTCATAACCAAAACTCATTTTACTGATTAGGAAATGGAGTCCAGAAAAATTAGATAACTTGCCCAGGATTCCAACAGAACCCAATATTATCATATTACATTGCTTCTCTGTAATACCTCCTGAAGCTGATTCAATAGTAATAAATATTTTTTAATTTAATTGACATCTCACTGATTTTCTATTCAGAGATATTTTAAAGGTACGATGGTAGAATCATTATCATTAAAATATGCACAATCTTCACATTTTCAGAGAACATTGTTATACATGTCTTAAAAGACCACAGTCTCACTCTACAAGGATAGTGTCCAAAATATTAATTCGGTTAGAGTTCTGTTACAATGGGGGTTTAGTAATCAGAACAATAATTATACATTGCCTGGGGTTAAAATGTCTTCCTCCAAGGACTTATTTAAATTAAGGGATTAAGCAGAATCCCATCATCAAAGAGATTTTGAGATCCAAGCTGAAGGATTCCTGAGATCTTCAAAGCTCATAATAACTGTCACATAACTATAGATTTGAAAGAAGTGGCATAAAAGTGTCAATGAGAATTGACAGAGTTTAAATCACTTTTTGAATCTGGTCTATTTCCTAAAACTGCAATTGTTATGTAAGGGAGAATATGAAGCAACATGCCTCCGAGTTTGTAATTGGTACCTATTACCTTAATAGATGTTATAATTAGATGTCAGATATAATTAGATGTCAGCTATAAATAGATGTCTAAATATAATAATTAGGGCAAGTTCTCCTTGGATGTGCAGAGAGTTAACAATCAAAGTTAGATTAGAAAAAAAATTAGAGAAATAACCCATTTCTTTGGGTGCCTTGATGCACCTTAAATATGTAACTACTACATCTCCTTAGAAATGCTTAATCAAGAAAGACTGATTAAATGGTATAAATTGAATGTGTAAGCATTTTACATATGTTATTATAACTTATTAAAGTACACTGGTATTTCATTAATGTTTTTAAATTAGAGAATATTATTACTACTGATTAATGTTTATTGAATACTTTTATTGAGCCTGAGTCTTTTTTTATTTAAATTTTTATTGTTATGTTAATCACCATACATTACATCATTAGTTTTAGATGTAGTGTTCCATGATTCA